AAAAAAAAAAAAAAAAAAAAGAAAAATTAAAGACTTTAGTCAAATTTGGGAATGTTTAATTTCTTGGTCTGTCTAATATTACATTATTTTATATTAGAAAAATATCCATTCTTCAATTAATTTAATTTTACTCTAGTTTTTCTTTAACCTAATATAAACATATATTTCAGGGGCGGACTTAGGCGGGGGCCCGTAGGGGCACAAGCCCCTGTGCATTTTTTTTTTTAAAAGATGGTACATATATAATTATATTGTAAAATAATTATAAAAAAATCTTCCTAAAATTTAAGTTGTTTACATTATGTATTTGTATTATGTTGTAAGAAACACATATAAATGAGTTACACCGATTTTCCACAAAAGTCAACATTGATCTTGATACATATTGAATTTTAGGTGTGCTCTTAAATTATAAAATATGTTTAAAATTAGCTACTAAATTGTGTTTGTCATTGATTTTTTAACTATTAACAAAATATTTATCTTTATTATAAAGAAGTATTCGAATACTGACGTTGTAAGAATATCCAATGCAAAAGAAAAAAAATGTTGATAGTTGAAAAAATATATTTAATGAGATTTGAATTTATGTTTATGAGTGATATAAAATATTAGAACATGCAGAGAATAAATATTATTTTATTTTTACTTTATAAGTGTTATATTTGTGCCCCTTAGACTTGCAAGTCTGCGTCCGCCCCTGCATATATATAAGAGTGGGTATATATATAAGAGTGGGTAACATAACCTCCATATTTACAACTATCAGAATATATTGCTCTAAATTTCACACTATATAATAATATTATTATTATCTCTCCAAAAATGGCCAAGTTGCTTGTCTGCTTAATTATTGCCATTTGTATGATGCAGATATCCAAGGTGAGTGGTCTGTTTGATTAATTTTTCTTAACTCAGATTTTTAATTGTAATTTTACTCTCAAAAAAAGGGAAAAACATTTTTCTCTCTTTTTTTCTTTAATTATTACTAATTGCGAATTTGATTTGTTTAATTATTTTGATTTTCAATGGTGGCCAGTGTCATCAAAGTAATTGTCCTGCTCATGCTCATGCTCATGCTCATGCTCCTGATCCTTATAATTGCTCTTCAAGTAAGTATAATGCTTTCTTAACATTAGAGAATAATATGGACCTGCATATAAATATTTTTATGAAATTTGTTATATATTATTTCGACCTTCGACATACAGATATTGTTGTTAAAATAATACATTTTTTCTTTATTTATTATAACTGATGACACAGATGTATATTTTTACGAGAGTAATAAGTTATATATAGAAAGTCATGTTATTACCTGAATTCCAGTATTTGCAACATATATGTATAATCTGAACATATTATTTTCTTATAATAATCACAATAAAATCTTATTCTCTATGTTAATTACGAACTGTTGTAATTTCTTATACTTTTGGTAACCAATTATATACCGTGATTTTTTACATGTCTTCAAAAAATGACTATTAAATAAACATATTATTTGAATATGCATGATAAAACGCAAATATAATTACAAAATAAAATTGAAACCAATTATGTCGCCTGAGATGTAAATATTAGTTTACTAAGAAAAATATAAATATTTATAATATAATTTGTTACAAATTATAATGACAACCCAACGGATCATATGTCGAACTATCCATAAATTATTTGATTAAACAAATTATAACGTATATTGTTACAAATTATAATGATAACTAACAAGTACTTATCTATCGAACAACGATGTAAATTTTAGTCTAAAAAATAAAAAAGAAATATTTATAATCGTATTGTTATTAATTATAATGATATATCACAGTCTTTTTCAATTTATTGTTGGTTACAATATTTGCCACATTTTTAATTTTAGCATAACTTATTTTAAAATTTAAATATTGTAATGACATATGTATAAGGGAATATGGAGAGAAAATTATGTTGTGCGTATTCATTATTGTAATTCTAAACAGGAGCTAGTAAATGACAACTATTTTATAACAAGTGAGATAAATATTTATATGTTCAATTATTATATACCATAAAATAAAAAGAAAAAAAAATAATATTAAAAAAAGAATTATTCTAATAAATATTCTTTCATAGTTTTGATATATGCAAATTATAATTATTGTTTGTATATCGTACGGGATACGTACTAGTATTGAATAGAGTTCACATATTATTTTTGAAAAGTCAAACAACAACTATATGGTAATTTTTTTATATTGCATCCCTCATCGCATGAGTATCTAAGAGCATCCACAATGCTTTGGGTTCAATCCCAAAAAAGTATATGACACCTAATAAATAGACCTAATCTAAAAAAAAATTTATTCTCCAATGCAAATAAAAGTAGGCTGAGTCATGCTGATGTGGCAGCCAGAAAATGAGACCCGGTCTACCCTTATGTCTATTTTAGACTCAAGCAGAGATAGAGACCTAGTCTCTTTGCATTGGAATGAGTTTTGTTAATTTTACATAGTTTTATCCATGTCATTCAAGACTTGGGTTTATTTACGTGCCACATATGCAAGACTAGACCCATTGCATTGTAGATGCTCTAATGTGGTTTAAAATCAAAAGATATCAGATCGTTTGCCGACCAATAGGGACTTACCGACATGAAAATAAGTTGTATGATCGTAACGAATAATTAACAATTGAAAAATAAGTAAACTAATTTTTAATTTAATATCTAATATACCACTACAAAAAAACACTACAATTCCAACGAAAAATTCCAACGGCAAAAATTTCCGTTAGAAATTCCAATGAATATTCCAACAAACTTAATTTTATGTTGGAATAAGTGTTGGATAGTTGAGGAATTCCAACGGATTTTTTCCGTTGGAATAGCTGTAGGAATTTATTTCCATAGGATTTTCCATTGGATATTTGCTATTCCAACGGCCATTTTTCCAACGGATTTTTATACGTTGGAATAGCTATTCCAACGGAAATATAAAAAATTCCAACGGAAAATTTCCGTTGGAATGTAGGAGTTTTTTTTGTAGTGTACGAAAAATAGATAAATTATGTAAGCCTTAAAATATGATACCTAAACGGTCAAATATGCTAACTAATTAAGAATGATAAAAGTTCGTCAATGTCTTTGTTATCATCTGATCCGGTAATCCGAGATTACTCACTGGAAATCACGTGTTAGAAGGATCATTATTGGCACCGACCTAAGCCCTGACCATTTCGGTTTATATTACGACCGGGCTCCAACCTAACGTAGAGAAAACCGACCTGCCCTACAAAAACCGAGGTCACCATACCCAAAGCAGGTGACAAGGCGCATACGCAACACATTCCCACACCACAAGAAATCTCATAATTTGTGTGGGTCCCACTCATATGGCCGCCCATCCGAAAGCTACTTTACAAAAAGGCAGCCGTATACCTCGAACCACGAGTCTGAAAAGATACTATAAATAGTAGATTCTTATACTTGTACAGGGATCGCTCTCTGAATATTCCACACATATATATCAAAACGCTCAACACCTTTTACCTCGGTTCACCTCGGACCGGGGCCATTGTTCTCGTGTTTGATACATGTTTCGTGCTTAAATTACTTTAAAACACTCGACTAATCACATACAAATTTGTTGTTAACAATCACACAACAACAGTTTGGCGCTAGAGGACGGGCCTCATAAGATATTTGAGGCTAA